CTCTTCGTTCGATTACGTATTTGCTATTGCTCCTTCTCATGAAAATATTAAAGAAGTAAGCAAATAGGTATTTTACTATATAATTTCATAGAATTCTTCTGAAACTCGTGGATTCAACGGTCAGAATAGTTGTTTCCCCAACAGTTGATCCGGATTTTGAAACTCCGAGGAACACAATTGCATAACTTTATTTCAAAATCATTATGTTCTGCAAGAAAGAAGCGATAAATTTTAATTGCTTCTCTTATAACTAAAATTAAAGACAAAAAGAGACATGAATTTTTTACCTCAATCTGGAAGTTCTGTAGCGTCGGAAATGTGTCAAGGATGAATAGTTTCCCAAACGTGACCAGACGGTTCGATCTCCGGCAAACGACCAATTGTACTTTTATTTCTTCAATGAATTCTTCAAGAATGGAAGCGCAAATTGCTTACTTCTCGCATGTAAAATTTAAACAGAAATGAAAACAGAGATTTTACATAATTCGAAGTCCTCTTGCCAGTCAGTGGATTCAATCGTCAGATAACATAGCTGTTTCTGAAATAGCTACAAGGAAAGGTTCATTTCCCGGCCGATGGTAGCTACTTTCAATCAATGGTCATGCAAAGATAGGAAGCAAAAATTTTAATTGCATCCTTCTCGCGTAAATTATAAAACAAATGAAGAAATAAGAATTTATAGAGATTACTAGTTTTTTCATTTCGCGTCGGTAAGTTCACTGGTCAGAATAGCTGTTTCCCAAACAGTTGACCCGGATTGTGACCGACGACAATTGCTATAACTTTATTTCAACCAATGGTCTATAAGATTGGCGAAAATTTTGAATTTCTCTTGCGATAAAATTAAAAAACAAAAAAGGAAATAAGATTTTTTACTATACAATTCTGAAGTCCTTCTGTTCGTCGGTAGTTCAACGATCAGATTAGCTCTTTCCCAAACAATTGATCCGGTTCTAGACTCGGCCGACGCAATTGCCTAGCTTTATTTCAACCAATGGTATGGAAGATGAGGAAGCGAAAATTTTACTTCTACTTCTGCGATTAAATTAAAAAAAAGCGAAAATATGAGATTTACTACATCAATTCTGAAGTCTTTCTGGCGTCGGTATTCAACGGTCAGAATAGTATGTTTCCCAGAGTTGACCAGGTTCGAGCACCGACGCAATTGCATAACTTTATTTCCGCAATGTCTGCAAGATAAACGAAAATTAATGCTCCTTCTCGTTAAAATCAAAACAAAATATGAGATTTTTACAATCATTCAAGCTTTCCGTCGGTAGTTCTAACGGTCAGAATGTCTGATCCAAACAGATGACCGAGGTTCGCTCCCGGCCGACGCAATTGCAGACTTTTCAACACCAATGGTCTGCAAGATGGAAGAGCGAAAATTTTGTTCTCTTCTGCGTAAATTTTAAACAAATAAAGAATAGAGATTTTTATATATTCTGAAGTCCTCTGCGTCGGTGATTCAGAGCCAGAATACTGTTTCCCAAACAGCTGCCAGGATACTCGCCGACGCAATTCCATTGAATTTTATTTCAACCAATGGTCAGCAAGATAGGCATAAATTTTTAATTGCTCATCTCAGTTAAATTTAAAAACAAAAGGACTTTATGAGATTTTTACTATCAATTCGTTTTCTTTCGCGTCGGTAGTTCAACGGTCGAAAACTGCCAACAGTTGACCCGGGTTCGACTCCGGCGACGCAGACCTGACTTTTATTTCCATAATGTCTGCAAGATATGGACGAAAATTTTTAATTTTGCGTTAAATTATAAAACAAGAGATAAATAGAGATTTACATCAATTCAGTTTTCTTTTCGCGTCGTAGTTCAACGATTGAAAAGCTGTTTCACAAACTTTGAGTATCGACGCTCCGTGACACGTTGCTTATAACTTTTACAACCCAATGGTTGCTGCAAGATAGGAAGAAAATTTTAATTACTCTTTTTTTGTAAATTAAAGAAAACAAAATAAGAGAAATAAGTTTTTTACTTTCAATTCTGAAGTTCTTCCGCGCAGTGATTCAACAGTCGAATGCTGTTTCAAACAGTTGACCCGGGTTCGACTCCCACGCGCAATTGTCATAGCTTTTTATTTCACCCAATGGATATGAGAAGAGAAGCAGAAATTTTAATTGCTCTTCTCGTAAATATTAAAGAAAAAGAAGGAAATAAATAGTTTTTACTATCAATTCTGCTTAGTCCTTCTGGTCGGTAGTTCAACGGTAGATAAGATTTTCAACAGTTGACCCGGTTCGACTCGCGGACAGCGAGTTAGCATTTTATTTCTATCAATGGTCTTCCAAGATAAGGAAGCAAGAATTTAATTGCTCCTTTTATGTAAAATTATAAACAAAATAAAAATATGAGATTTTTTTACTAATCAATTTCGGAAGTTCTTCTGCTCGTCGGATTCAACAGTCAGACTAATGTTTCAAAAGTGACGGTTCGTCTCAGCCGACGAATTGCGCGACTTTTATTTCATCAATGGTCTGCAAGATAGGAAGCGAAAATTTTTTATTGCACCTTCTCGCGATTAACATATGAAAAAAAAAAGAGAAATATCGAGATTTTTTACTATCAATTCTAAGGATATTGCGCGCTAATTCAACGTCGAATAGCTGTCACAAACATGACCTGGGTTCAAAGCCTCCCCGCCGACGGAATTGCATAACTTTATTTCACCCAATGATTCTACCAAGAAGAGCGAAAAATTTTTCAATTTAGCTCTTCTCGCGTTCAAATATTAAAAGTAAGAAGAAGCAGTAAATAGAGATTTTTACAATCAATTCTGAAGTCTCCTTCGCGTTCGTCAGGTAGTTCAACAGTCAGAACAGCTGTTTCTCAAACAGTTGACCGGGTTCGACTCCCAGCCGAAAGACGCATTGCATAGCTTTTATTTCAACCTAATGGTATGGAAGAGATGAAGGAAGCGAAAATTTAATTGCTCCTTCTCGCGTAAAATTACAAAACAAAATAAGAGAAATATGAGATTTTTACAATCAATTCTGAAGCCCTTTCGCGCGTCGGTAGTTTAACGGTCAGAATAACTGATTCCCAAACAGTAGACCCGAGTTCGAATCCCGGCCGACGCAATTGCATAGCTTTTAATTTAACCCAATGGTCTACAAGATAAGAATAGAAAATTTTAATTGCTCCTTCTCCCGATAAAATATAAAACAAAAGAAGAGAAATATATATATATATACGAGATTTTTATTATCAATTCTGAAAGATTTGCGCGCCGGTAATTCAACGGTCAGAATAGCTGTTTCACAAACAGCTGACCCGGGTTCGACTCCCCGCCGACGGAATTGCATAACTTTTATTTCAACCCAATGGTCTACAAGATAAGAATAGAAAATTTTAATTGCTCCTTCTCCCGATAAAATATAAAACAAAAGAAGAGAAATATATATGAGATTTTTACTATCAATACTGAAGGCTTTTGCACGCCGGTAATTCAACGGTCATAATAGCTGTTTCCCAAACGGCTGATCCAAGTTCGACTCCCCGCCGACGGAATTGCATAACTTTTATTTCAACCCAATGGTATACAAGATAAGAATAGAAAATTTTAATTGCTCCTTCTCGCGATAAAATATTAGAGTAAAGAAGCGAAATTTGAGAATTTTATTATCAATTCTGAAGTTCTTTCGCGCGTCGGTAGTTCAACGGTCAGAATAGCTGTTTCCCAAACAGTTGACCCGGGTTCGACTCCCGGCCGACGCAATGGCATAACTTTTATTTCAATCCAATGGTCTGCAAGATAGGAAGCGAAAATTTTAATTGCTCCTTCTCTCGTAAAATTATAAAACAAAATAAGAGAAATATGAGATTTTTACAATCAATTCTGAAGTCCTTTCGCGCGTCGGTAGTTCAACGGTCAGAATAGCTGTTTCCCAAACAGTTGACCCGGGTTCGACTCCCGGCCGACGCAATTGCATAGCTTTTATTTCAACCCAATGGTATGGAAGATAGGAAGCGAAAATTTTAATTGCTCCTTCTCGCGTAAAATTATAAAACAAAATAACAGAAATATGAGATTTTTACAATCAATTCTGAAGCCCTTTCGCGCGTCCGTAGTTCAATGGTCAGAACAGCTGTTTCTGAAACACTTGACGCAGGTTTCACTCCCGGCCGACGAAATTGCATAACTTTTATTTCAATCCAATGGTCTGCAAGATAGGAAGCGAAAATTTTAATTGCTCTTTCTCGCGTAAAATTATAAAACAAAATAACAGAAATATGAGTTTTTTGCAATCAAATCTGAAGTTCCTTCGCAGGTCGGTAGTTCCACGGTCAGAATAGCTCTTTCCCAAACAGTTGACCTGGGTTCGACTCTCCGCCGACGGAATTGTATAACTTTTATTCCAACCCAATCATCTGCAAGATAGGAAGCGAAAATTTTTATTGCACCTTCTCGGGATAACATATAAAACAAAAGAAGAGAAATACGAGATTTTTACTATCAATTCTGAAGGATTTGCGCGCCGGTAATGTAACAGTCAGAATAGGTCTTTCCCAAACAATTGATCCGGGTTCGACTCCCGGCTGACGCAATTACTTGAATGTTATTTCAACCGAATGGTCAGCAAGATAGGAAGCGAAAATTTTAATTGCTCTTTCTCGCGATTAAATATTAAAGAAAAGAAGCGAAATATATATATATACGAGATTTTTATTATCAATTCTGAAAGATTTGCGCGCCGGTAATGTAACAGTCAGAATAGCTCTTTCCCAAACAGTTGACCTGGGTTCGACTCTCGGACGACGGAATTGTATAAATTTTATTTCAACCCAATGATCTGCAAGATAAGAAGTGAAAATAATTATTGCTCCTTCTCGGGTTAAAACTGAAAAGAAGAGAAATATGAGATTTTTACAATAAATTCTTAAACAATTTCGTGTTGCGGTAGTGAAACGGTCAGAATCGCTGTTTCCCAAATAGATGATCCGGGTTCGTCTCCCGGCCGACGCAATTGCA